TAATACTTTAGAATAATATTGTTTCTTACATCTCCTCAAAAATGGCACCATAAACCGTCCTGTTTTCTGAAGCTGTGGGTTTATCAGTTTATTAGGTACACCTACATCAGTCTAATGGCGTGTGTTCTTATTCATTTCTAAAGGTGCACACACATATAATTAGTTTTTATATGTGTAATACTGATCAATATTAATATTTAGTTAGACGTCTTCTCTGTGCTCCTGTAGAGTCACAGGTGCTGTTCCTCTTTCGTCCACTGGAGGTCAGTGTCACTCTGTGCCAGTGAGGCTGGGACTGATCAACTCAACAGCACACACTCCTCTGGTTCTGGTTCTGGTGCCAACATGTAAGAGACATTCCTGTGTCTCTCCTAAAAAGGCTCTTCATCATTTTTTCACCAAATACATGAAAATGTCGCACAAACACATGATTTTAGTCGTGGATTCAGATGTTGGGGTGTTCACATGACATCGTCGTCTCTGCAGCTTTGATTTTTATCATCCTACTTTAATCTGCCTGTCACAAGTCGACCAGATTTAATACAGTGTGAGACTGGATCACTCCTGTAAACTGACCTAATCAGACCTTTTCCCCCTTGTCAAAGTTAGAGAAACCATGGAGTAAAAATGGCAGACACCAGGTGGGTCCTTCAAATCCTGTCATCTGAGATTTGGGCTTTAAAATGTCAGAAATAGGATTTCAATAAGTATTAAAAGTTATTGATCATGGTTAGTTTAAATCGATTACTTTGTTTAGCATTCGATGTCACCTCATTTACTTGTTGAAGTGACAAAGCAGTACTGTCAGTAGTACAGTAAACCAGTTCCATGTTGTAGTTCTGTCTCTCATCAGTTTGTCTTTATCTCACCGTAATAAAACGAAACCAACTCGGAACCAGAACCAACTTTGCAGCCCCGTGTTGTGGTGAGTGAGATAAAGTAATGTGTCCTCATATCCCTCATATGGATGTGAAATATCAGCCTAACAACCATATGAAGATGCTTATGTTTACAGTCACCCTGTGAAACACACAACAGAGAACGGCAGCTAGCCAACACCTCAGCTTCAGGTTTACAAAGTCACGTTATCCAGGTGCAGTCAGGTCTCTGCGGGCTCACACACTGTCTTTTGTATCTTTCTAAAAGGATGTTAGTGTGATGTAACAATTATCTAATATAATGTCATGGGTGTGGACGTGATGGGTGTCTGAACGTAATCTGTGTGAGTTACTGTGTACAGTTAATGTATTTGTTGAGTAGATGGTGTGTGCGAGTGAAGTCGACACTTAAATGTATAAGACGTTTGTACAGTGTTTGCCAAGCGGGTGGTGTGTGTGACTGTCGGTCACACATCATCAGGTGTGCTCCCATGATGCACCAGGGCAGTGTCAATGTCAGGTGCCACCCCCAGGAAATGAGTTTTGTAACGACTTGGAAATAAAAACATTCAAAGCTCAAATTATACAAAACAAATAATTCAGCGACAAACAGCCATTCATGTGCCGACAGAGTGAATATTTCATTTTCTAGGCCTCTGCATGTAAAAGATGTATCTACTATGTGACAAAACAAAATGGAGTCTTGTAAGATTTCAGTAATAAAGAAAACAGACAACATGAACACGCTCAACATGAACACGCTCGTGTGTCCAAAGCTGCAGGGATTTTGGCAGGATGTTAAAAAAGAAACCGAACTAAGTTTGAATATAAATTTGATGTTTGATCCAAAGTTATTTATCTTAGGTAACACTGGGAAATTCAGTGACAAAAACAACATTTATTTATTAAGAATCTTACTTACAAAAGCTAAAAACTGGTCCCAGGTCTGTGGCTGCTGCTACAGCTCTCGGTGGAAGTAAACATGATGGACAGAAAACAACCCGGGCTTCATAAGCACTTCTGTGCCTGACTAACTGTAACAGAGACATGGACGTGGAAAACCTCAGCGGCCTTGTGGTGTTAAGTCCTCAAAAATATTACAACCTCACTAGAAAATATCGCCTCATGTTTAGGCCAGTAGTTTACACTGGATATCCCATCAGGCCTCAGGATCTGCTGCGAGGAGGGAAGCACTTCGCCACACCCCCTGACCTGGTTAAATAGTGGAAAATGGATTTCCAGGGGTTTCCAGAAGCTTAACCTTAATATCATTAATGCTTTTAGGTCTGTCTTCCTGTGCAGCCTGCGTTAAGGAGAGCAAACAAACCACTGCTCACACAGAGTACGTCCTCCGGCAGCTGACATGCAGCTACATGCCTTAATTATCTGGGTGTCACTGTCAGCGCCGGCCAAATTTACTGGAGAGCAGCCTGAGAAAAAGGAACACAAGACATTACCTGTAATTAACGTCTAGTGTTGATGACTGCCGCTCTGTTGACCCAACACTTTTGTCCAGATTGGAAAACAGCTATTGCATTTATAAGGATTAAATCCAGAGAGGACATCTAAGGTCTGCAGGGGATGAATCCTAAAGACTTGTCATCTGGTGCCTCCTATCGATGCAGGTTTCTCAACACAGAGGGGAGGTTTGTATGATAACTGTTGGCATGGTGACAGTCTGTATGTTAACTATGCAGTACGGTAGCGTGTCTTAATGTTCTCTCAGAAAACAAACAACTGGTCACATGAGTGTAGAACTAAGTGAGCTTTACTTTTCATGCAGGCTTTTTG